TGTCTTTTGTTTCAGTTTCACCTACAATCAAAACATTTGAAGGGTATATCAGGAATTCAAATAAAGGGTTAATATATACCCGTTTTCTTCTCTGGATTCTCTTTTAGGTTGGAAACGAAAGTCAATAATCTCTTGCGGTAATCCTCTTCAGAGACATTGCCCTGAAAGTATTTCATCCCATAGTTGTTATATTCCACTGTCATATTGAAGGATAGTTGAAAGTGGAAAGTAGGCAATTCAAGGACTTGATTAAGAGAAAACATCATACAGTCTTTGTATTCTTGGGCAGTAAACTTTCTTTTCGACCAGCAAATATCAACCTCCCAAGTGTAGAGTGAGCATGACAGCATTTGGCTAAAACCAATTTCCTAGCTACCAAATTAGGTTGGTAACTGGAGAAGCCAGAGCTAACAATTCCAATTTCAATTTGAGTGGATGTGAGTGTTGGAGTTAAGAAGGCTCCCCAAACGGATTTCAACATTACAACATCTAAAAGGGTTACACCAGAAAACCTGTTTCGAGAGCAAGATAGACCAACACATCTATCCACAAAGGGAGCCATGGTCTAAACAAAAGTTATAGATTCAAGAAACACTTTAATGTATTTCATTAAGGTTATCTCTGTGGGGGTGTCATAATGGGTGACTAAAGCAAGTTTTGTACCTTTGATGTCTCTGCATTCAGTTTCTTCCATCAAGGTCTTAGAGTCAGTTACGTGAAGTTTAGGTTCGAACGTGGCACTTAACTAGAGTTGTAGAAGCCACAAGGGGCCAGAAAGAAGGTATGATTTGTTAGTTTCAGAAATGTGTTTTAATTTATAGGAGGCATTTCTAATTGATTGATAAAGGTTGTCTAAAAGTAGCTTTCTCAATAAGATCTTTCGACCTCATGAAGTTGAATGGCTAGTGGGACATATTTATTAGCTATCTGAAGAGAGCTTGAGCAAAAGAAATAGTAGGACAGCCAAAGGGTTAAGAAGGCAATATGCTCCTGGTTGGAGACCTATCTAGTTTTCTTGTTATGATGATCGAGGATGTAGTCTTTGAAGCTAAAGCATTCAAAAACGAATTCGTTCACAGTCTCTAATGTTGGAGTGAAGTTTTCACCTATAGGGTTAATACCCATGACAGCTTCCCAAAAGAATATTTACGCGAGCAACATGAGCGAGTTGTACCTAGGGTAAGCTATAGAAATTTAAATCACGTCGAAGATGCCTATTTTTTCCAATTGGTATTTTTTCTAGATTTGGACTTTGTCAACCAGACAGTGTACTCTTTGTTTAAAGCAGGGGGCGGCTCGAAAGACACATACATGTGTTTTCATAAAAGATAGGTTGAGAGAGTGTTCTTCGATTACTAAGGGCATGGTAACAGGATAACATGGGAATAAGTTCTTTACTTTCTCAGGTTGTGATTTAGCAATTGGATATGGTTCTAAGAAAGCAAACAGTTTATCATATAAGGAAAAAGGGACAAGTACCAGATTAGTCAAAATGGTGATTTTTTCTTTGGCCATTGGTGGTTCAGGAACAAAATCTCTTCCTTGTTCATCTTCTTCTAGTGTGATTTTGAATGCCAAAGGATTTTTTCCAGTATTAAGTCTGGATGTTGAAGTGTTGGTTGCCATTGTTGGAGTTTGAAAGCTTGCTGCGAAAAAAGGGTTTTGTTTGCGTAAGATGCTGAGAACGAAAACTAAGAAGATGAGAAGATGATATGGAGTGAGTATTTATAGATTAATTTTTCTTATCAATGACAATCACTTGCCATACGATTGTAGACAAGAAGCGGTTCATGTTTCAAGAAGTTGGAAAACTGATGGGAGTAGAGCAGTTAATTAAACATGCAAATGCATGATCTCCTAGAAAATGAGAGTAATGATGAAACTCTGAGAGGATCTTTTGGAAAATGAAAATGAGCATTAATTGGTAATGATGATGATGATGTCAATGATAGGGTTTGAACAATGTCGAAAATACATTAAAAAAATTTCACCTTTCTCTTTTGATACAAATTCGAAACATAGCATTTTGGGGGGTAATTTGTTATCTCATATTTTTGGAACAAGCATTAATTACAAAAATGTGATAAGGATCGTGTAATAATGATTTTTGTAAAAAAATTCGAAATGGTCGGTTATGACTATGAAGATATCGATGACTTTGATTTGTTGAAGAATAGTATTAATTTTGGTCAAAATAGACAGAGGCCAGGGAGTTTGTTGGTTTTTGGGACTTAGTGAAATTCAGAGTTCCCAAGACGTTTTCTTTACGCAATCGAATAAGGTGTAATTGGATAATATCAGATAGTTATTCAAAGACATGTGGGAGCCTGTTGAAGGTGAAGGCTGCATGAGAACGAGACGTGGTGTATTTTTCTTAGTCGACCATTGCAGACGGTTAACAAAGGATTAATATATAAATATCACTTATTTTGAGTTTTAGGGGTCCCATTTGTACACAAAATTCTGTAAAACTGAAAGTATATGCGTGTTTGTGAGAAAAGAGTCAAGAATGTACGTATATGCGTTCCACATTTACAAATTAAAGCCTTTATTTTAGTCATTTATTGCATTGAATTATTCTTCAGTCATTTTTTTAAAATTTTCCTTGCACTTCGATTTAAAATTTAATTTCACACATTATTTTCGATTTACATTACATTTCGACCTTTATGTCAAACTTGCTTAAAACTCATGATTCACAAGATATATCTTGAGATCTTTTCGAGTTTAATTTGTTAAGTAAAATAAGACTTGTTTTTGTTTACTAAATTTCACAGAAAACGGGAACAAAAGATTGTTCTCATCATAGAGTATCCATATTTACGATTATGTTGTATGGGTGGAATGAGAATGGGACACAGACAAGAAAAAATCGTTATTGTGAACATTTATGCACAATGTGACATCAGAAGAGGACAAGATTTACAAGCTGGCAGCAAAATTGTTAAGATAAATGGGAAAAGATTTTGTGTTTTAAGATATTTTAAATCTATCAAGTTTGAAGAAGAAATAAAATGAGGGTCGGAAAACATCTGAATAGAGTAATTAGAAGAATTTTGATAATTTCATTTCAGATATAGATCTAATGGACCTGCCTCTTTACGAGAGGAATTCACGTGGTAATGATTAGGCGATGGATCAATGAGTCGTCTAGAATAAATTTCTAATTACGGAAGATTAGTTCAAGAAGTGGCCCAACTACACACACAATAGCCATTAGACAATGGTCTATCAGACGATTTTCTCATTTTACTTAGGGAGTTAGTGCAAATTTGGGATCTAAAACCTTTATGTATGTTTAGTTATTGTAATAAGATTAAAGGGTGCCACAATTTCGTTAAAAATTATTGATTGAAGCTAAAAGTCAAGAGGGTGGAGGATGTACGTCTTGAAGGAAAAGTTGAAGTTAATTAAGATCAAGCTAAAAGAATGACACAAATCTCACGCTTAAAAACTAAAAGGTAAGATCAAAAGTGAAAAATAAGAGCTCAACAAACTTAAAGTCAGAAGTGAATTGTTGATTTTGTCATCAGCCGAGTTAAGTCGTAGAAGAGAAGTCGTAGAAGAGAAGCTATTTGCACAAGTTCATGAATCTTAACTGTAGCATCCAATGTCAAAAATCTCAAAATAGATGGCAAGAGAGATAAAGATGCAAATTCCAAATACTTTCATAAATATAGTTTCTATTTTCATTTTTTTTTAATTTTGATCCCCCTATTTTAAAATTCGAAATTTTTGTCCCTTTGTTTTCAGTTTTTTTGGATTTTGGTTCCCTTATTTTAAAATTTAAAATTTTTGTCCCTCTATTTTTATTTTTTTGTGAGTTTTGGTCCCCTTATTTTTATTTTTTTAAACTTTTAATCTTCTATTAAATTTGTTCCCAATTAAAAAAAAGGATTAAAATTCAAAACAAAATTTAAAATAGAAAATTAAAATTATAAAAAAAAGTTGAAAATAGAGGGTCAAAATTTTTAATTTTAAAATAGGAAGACCAGAACTTAAAAAAAATCAAAATTTTAAAATAAAGAGATTAAAATTAAAAAAAAATTAAAAATAAATAGACCAAAATTACGATTAAGTCAAAAATAAATGATAAAGATATCATGACACTAGAAGTTAATGGAAGACGATGCTAATAATCAATGTCTTTGCATAGTTGGGACAAAGAAACTTATTATTGAAATGCTATTGATTTAATTGCTTCTGAATTTAGATCAAAATTTTTGCTGAAAATTATCTAAGAAGCATGTGATAAATCAACAACAATGTTGTATTTTTTAAAATTAATTTTAAAAAATAATTGATTTTTAAGGAAAAAAACCAGTTTTTATCTAAATATAAAAATAATCACTTTAAAAATAGAAAAAATAATCAAATTTATAATTGAAATTTAAACATTTGGATTAATTTTAAGTTTTGATTAATAAATTTGAACCTAACAATCCAATATTTTACCCATCCTACAAGATCTCAAATTATTACTCAATATCTCTTATAATGTGTTTCTATAAAGTAATATCTAAGATTTCAGTAAATAGGTTAAAATTTGTGATAGATTCTGTTTAGATTAGACAATTTTTTATTTTAATCAGGTATTTTTGAAGAAATTAAAGTTGTTTTTGTGTTAATTGATCGTATTAATACATATTTAATCGACCGATTAAGATTGGACAATTCTAATTTATGTTTTAAAATATGTAATTTTAACCAATCGATTATGATCAAACAATTAAAGTAGTTTTTGTATAAGTTGATCGATCAAGATGAAACGATTAATATCATCTGAAATCAAGTGAAGATCCAGAGTTGTAATATTGAATATATTTTTGGCGGAAAATTAAAGTGAAAAGATATACATAAAGAAGATTACACATAGGAGTTCAATTCGATAGAATTCACAAGCTTCACAATGTCATTTCCACACAAGACAAAAAACTGAAGTCAAAAACAGAGAAAACAAAAAAGGTAAATTGAAGGGTCACATAGAAGAAGATGAAGAATCACTTAGTGATAATGTAAATAGCATAGAGAATTCCAGGAAGATAGCCAAAAAGAGTAAGCACCAAACAGATCCAAAACTCCACCTATGTTAATCACAAGAACAAACCATTAATGAAACATGAATAAAATTACATAAATAACCCTTAATTGTAAAATTTTACTTACTTCACAGCCAAACTTGAGGAAAACACCAAGAGGTGGCAGGATGATGGCGAGAATGATATCAACGAAGGTAGCTGTACTCATTTTGTTTTGAGTTCAAATTTGAGAGAGAGAAGAAGAACAGAGTGTTGCTTTTGTTGTTACTTGTTGGGTAGATAAACTTCAAAGACAGTGGATGTTATGCGATAAGGACGAACGAGGTGTGGTTCTTTTTATAGGAAGTGCTGTCGACATATGAATTGACGTTACGTTACCATTTTCGATAACTTTTTTGGGGCCACGTGGCTTCTATACGTTGCAAAGTTGTTACAGCTAATTTAGAATCCAATTCTTATATTACTAAATCATAAAAAATAATACTACTACTAAAGTATGTTGGGATATTTTTTAGGGTAGCGTTGTCAGAATATCTTTATATACTATTGCTTAGAGGATCAAAACTATTCTTCTTAATATAATTAGTTGTGATCAAAGCCTGCTTTTTTTTTATTATTTGTGCTTAAGTGTTTTATTTAATTTGCTTATTAAAATTTTAGATTAACGTCTCATTAAGGAGATAAAGGTGTTGTTTGGATGCGAAGAGAATAAAAGCACAACTAAATAAGGTTAGAATGAATAAAAGTGAGTAGAATGTATGAGTATTTTTTTAAATTGTTTAGTATGAGTGAAAAGTAAGAGGAAAAAAAATACTTATTTTAAAAATTGCATGAATACATATATGAAGAATGTGATATTAAGGTGTCTTTTACTTTTTTTATTTATTTTATTGTTTAACTTTTTATTTATTTATTTTATAGTAAAAATATTTTTGAAGTCGGTCTCCTGATGGGTCATCAGGAAAAACATTTATATTTGGTGAAACATTTACCTAAACGTTAAAGATTTATTTAAATATGTGAGAGACATCATATATTCACCTAAAATCTTAAGATGATAAGTGTATTGGTCTTCTTACTAATAAAGTGTTCAACCTCTACTTTTCTAAGTAATGTGAGACTTAGAACTCACACTTGTTTCTTAACAACTCATATATTTTTCAACAATCTCCCTCTCAAGTGTGAGTCCATTCAGTATGCTCCCCCTCTAGCAAAAGTTCTTTCTTTCACATATTTGTACCGCCATTGAGAGACACTTTTATCTCATCATGGCACTTCAACATGACACGCCACCTGACAATCATGTCAGAAAGACTTTCAACACAAGGAGTCGTTCCCTTACCCGAACCGGGCTTTGATACCACTGATGGATTATCATAGGGGAAACATTCACAATGGATGAAACACTCACCTAAAGGTCAAAGACTCATCCAAATAAGTGAGAGACACTACATATTCACCCAAAACCTTAACGAGATAGGTGTATGAGTCTTCTTACTTATAAAATGCTCAACCTCCATGTGAGATATTGAATCGAACTCTAGTGTTGTCAGTAGGAAAAGCTTTCATGTTTCGACAAGAGACAAACTGTTTACTGTGAATTTTGGTAAACAATCGCTAGTCTAACAATTTAGGGTAAAATTGAGTAACTTGCAGGATCGACCATACTAAATCCTAGAACACGTGCTAAGTATGCAAAAAAGATCCTAATCTGAACTCCACGTTCGACTATGAAATCTTTGTAAAGTAAAAGTGACTTGAAGATTAAAAGAAAGCAAGTAATGCGTCGAAGATTAAAGACAATAACATAAAGGTTTCAAAAGTAAATGACTTTGAAATAAAGGCAATAATGTAAATATGCAAAAAGATTACAATCTGAACTCCACGTTCGACCATAAATCTTCAAAAGTAAACGCAATAATTGTAAATGACTTTGAAAATTAAAGTCCAAAAGACTATAACCTGAACTCCACGTTCGACCATAAAATCTTCGAAAGTAAATGACTTTAAAGTAAAAGGCTTGAAATAAATGCAGAATGTTTAAATTTGCGTAGAAAGAAAATGAAAGTAAGTTTGAAGAAAAGCTTGGAAAAAGGAAAGGGCAGTTTAAACGTAAAAACTGAAGGTTAAAGTGCTGAAGGAGTAAAAACGCATAAATGGTAAAGGCAAGTAAATTGCATTAATGAAAAAGAGTTGGTGATGTATCATGTACATTCTCGCTAACTCGTTTCTCTACACGCGGGTACTTTGAGTGTTTTGGAGTGACTAGTACAAGATCAATGAACACCCTTATTACATAAAAATGACAACTATTTATAACACTAGCAAATAACTACTAGATGACGGTTTTGGCTTCACAACGTGTCTTTTTGGCGCTTTTGTATAACTTCAACCACTCCCACGTTCGCCCACTATCAATTTGAACTTGGATGCTAAGAATTCCCTCCCTCTTTGATGGTAACTGCCTTGCGTTTTCCTTGACATGATCCTGGTCGAGAGCTTCTCCAACACTTAGCATTTTTTCCAGAAACTTTGTCCATCTTTCTTCGACGCATATTTCCTCATAGTTGTGTCGAAGCCTTCATATGATTTTAGAATGACATTCTGACTTAAGATGATTCTGAATTCCACTAGCGTCGAAAATGAGAGCTAACAAATTGCCCCCAAGAAATATCCTTTCACCAGTCTTGGTAGGAATGTCATTTTTTCAACCGTTTCGACGCGTGTGAATTTGCATGGCCTTGACTAAACCACCCACTTCTTGTTTAGTGGATAACTATTCACTTTCGTTTACCCCATGCTGATGACATCACACCATCATGGTAAATCCTTAAACGTCTTTTCATCCGTATTTATCATTACTTTGTCTTGAAAACGTATGTTTTGAAATCTGACCATAACTGCCAACACTCATCATTTCTCAAAACAAAACACGCGTCCCACTATCTGATTAACTTCAACGGTGGATTTAGACCTTTCAGGATACCAAAACTCCTATAAATACCTTCCTTCACCATTTCGTGAACTTTTTACACTTCCCAGAATCTCAAGCATCCTGTTTCTTTCTTTAGTTTTCTTTACCAAACTTAGAGAAAAAAACCATCTTATTTCACTTCCTTCAACAATGGCATCTTCCCAATCCAACGCTCAGGAAAAGAAAACCCAGAAGGGTCGAGTTACTCAGTTGAAACAAACCATCCCTCCTTTTGCAAACATTCCTGGCCCTCAATTAGTGGAAAATTATCACTGTGCGCCGGAACCTACCACTGAAGCGGTCTGGAGCATCTACCAATACCAGGTAATGATCCCTTTAATTGTTTCAGGTAAACCCTACGCACTTTCTGGTCCTTTAGCCCAGGTTGGTACTTGTTGCACCCCAAAATTTGCTCAACCTTTTCTTGCCTGATTTATGTTTCATTGCATTTCATTTGCATAGTTACATCATATACACAGTCTAATCATTTGCATATCATAGCATAGCATGCCTCCAACAAGGGATCAAGGTGTCTATCAAAAGAAGAGCTTAGCAAGTTGTGTTATCCAAGAGGAGAAGTCTTCCAGGCCATCAAGAAGTGATTTGAAGTCTTGAGAAGTTTTGAGTGCCCACATGGAGATTTCTCTCCTAACTTGAGGTGTATTGAAGATCATCAACATGGGATTGTGAATTTGAGGTGTATGGATCTCATAGGATGCCTAGAGGTCCCTATTGAAGCTTAGACAAGTCATTGTATCAAGTTCAAGAGCCAGAGTTGAGGTGTGTACAAGTAGGGTTTCATCTGGGTAACCCTAGGTCAAGGAGAGCAAAGAAAGGGCATCAAGACCTAGCTCTAGGTCATGGAAGTCATGGATTGATATGTTAAAGCATGTGTATGGATGAGCCAAGATCAATTTCAAGAGAATCAAGAGTGGTTAGAGGTGTTTGAGACAGGGTTCCTAGGGTAAAATCCCTTGTATAGCACTGAACTTCCAAGTCACATAAGTCAAAATACAAGTTTCAAATGAATCTTTAGAAAACATGAAACTTGTAGAGCTTCTCAATAGATTTAATTTGAGTACTAGAAGTCTTCAATAAGATTTGTAGAACTCAAGTTATGGTTCTTGCAAGTTACAGGTCATCAGAGGACACTGAAATTTATCTGTGAAAGTTACTTGACTTCCAAGCAACGTTTGCCTCTCAAGGAGTTTTCAAATGGATTCTTGGCCAACATAAGAGTTGTAGGTCTTGATCTTATCTTTAATTTGAGTACTATAAGTCCTTAAGAGGATTTGTGGAACTCAAGTTATGATCTTGGCAATCCAGGGGTATTTTGGGAAAGTTGAATTATAGGTCTTTTTTCAACATAGGTCAAAATCTCTATCTTCCACTCCTCAAATGAAAAAATGTTCAACATGAAATATGCTTAAAATGGTGTTTCTAGGTCATATATGAAGTCATGGTGAGTTGGATTGGCTTATTTCACAAAGTTACCAAAAATGGCTTAAAAAGGAAGAAATGAAAGTCATTTAAAAAGCCAAAAATGTGATTTTGTGTTTTGGGGTAAAAATGAAGCATGTGACATATCAAATTGATCAGAAAGGATGTTTTAAAGATGATGGCAATGTTACTTTTGGCAATTGAGGCATATTTCAAAGGATTGCATTTGGTGGCTTATGGTTGAAGTAACATATGCAAAATCATTCACAAGATCAGCTACAAGGCTCTAACCAATTCCAATCAATTCAATATGTCATGTGGTGAGATTTTGGATCAAAATTAAGCTGCTGAAGCAAGCTAAACCCAACTGTCATGTGCAAGCTTCTCATGAGATTATCAAGTGCAAGAGAAATTGGAATTCTCACATGGATCATTCCAGAGCATTCTAGATGATTCCTACATGTTCTATATAACCCTCATAACTGATTCAGTTACTTTTTTGGCCAAGAACTCTGAAGAATTGAGAGAGAGCAAAGTGAGTTTTTTCATTGCAAATCAAAATCGTGTTTGGTGATTGGGAGGGATTCAAAGCAATTCATTGCATACAGAAGATCCACAAGGCATCATTGATCGTGTCTGGAGAAGATTGAAGGGTGATTTGAAGGATTTCTTGCTCTGTTCACTCAATTTTCACAGGTTTGCAAATTTCATCTCATAGCTCAATTTAGGTAGAATTGATAGGATTTAGATGTGCAGATGCATTGTAAACATGGCTAGGGTGGTTTCTGGTAGGA